TTTTATCGATTTTTTGCAAAATTGGAGCTACAGGGCTGGGAGTTGGCACAGGGGGGTAATCGAGCATGCTGATCACCCCCGTGGGGGTGATCAGCATGCTCGATTACCCCCAGGGCCCGGCACGAGGTCGGCAAATGACAAGCTGGAAATCGTTTTGGGGCCAAAAAGCAAAGGGGAAATCGTTTTTGCCGGGTCCGGGGCGGAGCCCCGGAGAAAAATTGGCAGTTCATGCTCGCTACTTATCTTGACGTGTTATATGCCTCAACAGGCGAACACTGGAGTTCGCGCGCGTCAAACCTCGCCGTCGCTAATTGCCGCACGCGCGACGTCGCCCAAGCGATGCTATTTGTAACAGCATGCATGACTAGTTCTCAATGTATGTGTAACGATATGACACCAAATTTTGTATGCGAACGGAGAGAGGCTAGTGGAAACATAGTATGAAAAATTATGTAAAACTTATGTGAACGGAACGAGTAATTAGCATTTTTTCCGAGAATTTCGCAAAACTGGTAAATGAAGATGTGAATTCAAACGGCTCGTTTAAACGCGCAGATGAACGATATGGTATGAAACTTGGTAAGTAAATGCACACGGGCTTGCAGGGCTTAACTGAGGAGTTTCATTGAAAAATTATGTGACTGAAGATTGTGGCAAACTTTTATCTGAAAATTTTGCGCTACCAAAGAAATGGAAAAATGGCTCGTTTGCAACGCAGAGGTAACGAAATCGCGCGGGATTCGGTGTGTATATGCGCAATAGGACTAACAAGGGAAGTACACTTAGTCGAAGTGGCGATTCGGAAGGAGATCTATACCAGTGAATAGAGCTTAAAAAGCTGATTTCAGATACACCTTCTATATCTGCGATGCGTTGTTCTGAAAAAAGTTATGAGCTTTTCTAAAGTCAAATTTTCGTGCATTTTGAGTCCTGAAATCAAGATAATCACTACACGAAAGTGTGCAAGCTTAAGCCAACCACCTAGGAAGCATTGTATGTCTAATTCGAGTTCATCCGAACGTTTTCGAGTGTTATCCGAACATGTTGTTTATCTACAGGCCGTCATTTCCCTCCTAGATCACACTTCCATTATATATACAAAAAAACATAACCCCTCAGTCTAAAAGAACGCGCTGCAGATATTGAAGATATATTTACATCGTTTTACGTTCTATCTATTGGTAGTTTCCAAAAAGTTTCCGACGCGACGCTTTTTTCTAGATGGAGGTTATGGGACTTTTTTGTATACATAATCAAAGTGTGATCTAGGAAGGAAATGACGACCTGTGAATAAACAACATGACCGGAAAGCACTCAAAAACGTTCGGATGAACTCGAATTAGAATTACAATGCTTACTAGGTGGTTTGCTCAAGCTTGCACACTTTTGTGTAACGATTACATGATTTTGGGACTCAAAATGCACGAAAATTTGACTTTAGAAAAGCTCATAACTTTTTTCAGAACAACGCATCGCAGATATAGAAGGTATATCTGAGATCAGTTTTTCAAGCTCTATCCACTGGTATAGATCTCCTTCGGAATCGCCACTTCGACTAAGTGAACTTCCCTTGTAAGTAATAAAGTATGAAATATTATGAAAAACTTATGTGAATGAAGAGTTTCCTTAACTAATTTCCAAATTAGGTCGGCATTTGCCGACCTAATTCCCACCTGAGGTCGGCAAAACTCTCAATTCACATAATTTTTTCAAAATTTTTACATAAATCTGTTGTACACCTAAAGTTTACTACATGGTGAAATTTTGGTTCCGAAGCTCCTCCTCTTGTCCTTGTTAGAGCCCAAAATCGCATCAGCAGCCTAGCTTTCTAAGATGGAAAGCGCGCCCCAGTCAATCGATACGCGCGGGAACGGCGTCTCTCATTCCTATGACTGCGTTTCTTTGATATTTTCTCATTCCTTAATCATTTTTCTTGCTTATTTTTTTCCTGTTTCCTATCTTGATACAGCTGAGGAGTAATTTGAGGAATTTGAGCAATTTGGGCGCCTTTGAGCGCTTTTGGGCGAAGTGTGGCCGGTAATCTCGTCGCACAAGCACAAAACGTCATTTTTGGGCTCAAGGGGGTATTCGTATAATTTATTGGGATCAAAGGGGAATTCGTTTTGGAAAACCCCGTTTTCCCACCTCGTGCCGGGCCCTGTCACTGTATATTAGGTTGGCTCGAAAGTTTTTGCGTAATTCAAATAAAATTCATAACTTTTCAATGCCTAGACCTAAATTCACAATCTTGTTCATTAAAAATATTAGAAGGCCTGCGCTCCACGAAGGATGTTTAAGCGCAAGATTTCATGAGCTAGCCCCCGAGAACGAAGCTCTCAAACATGAGACTTCAAATTTTGAAATTTTGCAATTTTCAGTTTGGTGCCAGAAAATCGCAGAGTGCCGCTAGCTAGCCGAAAAAAATCTGTAGAAATTACTTACGCTGCAGAAGTCCATAAGTTACTTTGGAAGGCTTTGATCTTGCACGGTGAAGCAAAAACAAAAAATTCGTGAAATAGTCATTTTGCGGAAAAAATCCACCCATTACCGCAGTTTTTCGGCAAAAACAATTTTTTACACTCCAAAAAACGTCGCAAGGTTCTAAATAGGCAATATGTCTTATTTCTGGTTGCAAACTGTGTTTTTGTGGAAAAATTACATCGATAAGGGGATTTATCTTGTAAAATGACAAATTCCACAAATTTTTTGTTTTTGCTTCACCGTGCAAGATCAAAGCCTTCCAAAGTAAGAAGATTGAAGCCTGCTGAAATAACGTATGGACTTCTGCAATGTGAGTAATTTTTACAGATTTTTTCGGCTAGCTAGCGGCACTCTGCGATTTTCTGGCACCAACTCAAAATTGCAAATTTTGAAGTCCCATATTTGACAGCTTCGTTCTCGGGGGCTAGCTCATGAAATCTTGCGCTTAAACATCCATCATGGAGCGCAGGCCTTCTAATATTTTTAGAGAGCAAGATTGTGAATTTAGGTTTAGGCATTGAAAAGTTATGAATTTTATTTGAATTACGCAAAAACTTTCGAGCCAACCTAATATATTGATTACTTCAGCTTGAAGTGATTTACTGCATCAATAAGACAACCTTTAGTTTGCCTTTTTGTACTGCGTCCTTCCTTCGACCTTCAGTGGGGAATCTGCAATCGCAGTTCCACCCATGAACCATTGCCAGAAACGACTATTGAACCAGTAACTGAAAAAGAGACTGTCAAGGATCTGCTCACATAGAGAGACGGGTATAAGCAACCGAATACAATTAGAGAATGGAGAGCGCAAAAGCAATAGGGTTAAGAGTATAGTAACGTAGCGCGCCCTCAAGGGACCGGTCATACCTTGCGCAATTTTAGTCACCGCGCAATTCGGACTGAAAATTGTTCGTAATACTCCGTAGGTGCTTTCTGTTATGCAGCTGGCCAATTACCAAGTCGCTGACGACTGAAATCGCGCGAGATATGCCTTGGCATTTAAAAAGAAGAGCGGGTGTGAGAAATAGCGAGAAAGTGACCAAATGAAAGAAGACTCACTGGAAAGCGGCCACAAGCTTTCGGCAACTGTTCAGGGTCGCCGAAGTTGCCGTTCCTGGACCTCATAGTATCTCTGAGTTACACGCTCATAAGCGGCAACTCCACCAATCTCGGCAACTCTGGCAGCAGTTGCTGGCAACGTGTGGCCAACCGATCTTTTGGATAAACAGCACAGTGACTAACTTGAGGTAGAAAATTGGCGTTCTTTAGATACGAATGGGAGTAGACCTTAGTATATGCTCATACTGGCAAAAATCAGCAACATTCAGCCTAATGCCAGTCAAAAGGATAGCCGTTCTCTTTATTTATCAAAAAAAATGCAATGCTACAAAAAATGACATGCATAATGACCCATATGTGATACTCTTTGTACACGAAAATCTGAAAAAAAAAACAGAAAATATACGCACAATGGGCAAAGTCCGTGTTACAGAAGCCTTCTAGGAAGATTATTGATAGTGGATAACAAAATATACAAAAGCGAAACTTCTACCTTCAAAGAAAAAAAGATTCTAAATGACACAGCGACATGTGTAAGAAAAGGATAAGGATAATACATATACACACTGGCAAGAAACGCCCCCGATGGCCCACGTACATACGTTGAGTATCCGTCAGTTTCTTCTTATAGTTGTTTGTTGATTTGCTTCTTGATTTTCCAGCTAATCTGATGTCCTCGAAAATAAAAGTTGATTTCAAGTACATATGAAAAAGACGAACCGTCACAATCGATGCTTCGAGATAAAATTGTGGAAAATTTACTTAGCGTAGAAATTCCAAATTTTGACTATCTTTATAAATTCTGAGAAAAAGTCCCTCGATTTCCTCTAAAGTATAGTGTAAATGACTAATATGTAATGATAGCCGAAAAATCAGAATACGAAAACCAGTGTTCCAAATCTCAATTTTAAAGGAAAATTTTCAAGTGAGATAAGAAATTTGACATTTTAGATTTTCCGCAATCAAACCTTGAATGAAGTTTATTCTAATGTTTTCTTCGATTTCCCGAATAATAAGTTGTTTCAGTTTGAAGCATATTACGGACTTTCTTGTGATCAAAGACGATGTGATCCGTTACGTCAGTAATCCGCATCGCTTTCAGAGCAATGCATTTTGTGAATGATATTTTTCTCAGTTTTGCCTCAAATTACCCTCACAATCAAAAATTTGGAGAACGTTGCATTGAAAATCTGTAGACATCCATATTTCATCTACAGTTGCCACAGAACATTTATGAACAAAACAGACTTGTTTTCTGGTAAAAAAATTTTTTTCGCGGAAGATGATATATTAGAAATCTTCAAATCTTAGCGAGTGGATATTTGTAGCTCGGATAAATTAATGATCTTTTATAAACTTAGTCCATGTAGTGTGATACAGCATAGACAATCCGCCTAATTTGAGGGAATTTTTTTTCCAAAAATTACAAATATCTTCCTTCAAGGTCATACTGCACAAATCGGGTGAAAAGTTGCAGTCGTTATTCAAAAGATAAGAATAGAGTAGCGAGATGTGTTAACTGTGTTCTTGCACTGAGAGTAGGCTCGAAAGTGGTACTCAACACATACATGCTGGAATTGGGCCAACTATAGAATGCGCTAAGAAACTAGAAAATCTTATATCCACAGGTTACCTTCACAATATCAATCACACAGATGAGAACTATACATGAGAACGATGTTTACGTTTCTTTTCCACATACGCAAACGTGACACGACCATCATTTACATCAACTCGAAATCCCTGTCCTTCGTCATTGAGGAGTACATTCCCACGTATACCACTAAAAGATTTTCCTACTGCCTTCAAAACCGACTTCGTATCTGTTGTCCAATCGCCATATGAGGGCATGTGGAGATGTAGAAGTTTTATGCTTCCCATGTGCCACACCTGCATGGAAAACATGGTATTGCAATAAACTCAAGTAGGCAACACATCAGGGTCATAAACTGGTACAATCTAGTAGATTTTCCGCTCAATAGCTCCTAGATATTCTAAACACCTTCTGTTGTATGTTGATACCTGACAGACTCAATTCTTATTGGGAACACAATTTTGGAAAAATTAAAGACTCGCAATCCATATCGAAACATGTTAGAAATAAATTAGGCATCCCTTGGTATGAAATTACTTTCCAGATGAATCCCAAATTTTCCCAAAAAATTCTATTCTTATTTTCAGCTAATAATACTTGCAGTAATTTTTCTAGTGTACGTAAATAACAAATTGATTTGTTCAGTCGTCGTTCCTATAACGTGACAACACCCGCCATTGTGAGATACGTAGGCGTTTTTTTGTATTTTGAACATCCATTAGCGCATTTTCATATATGCAAGACTTGTTGCAATCAGCTTTTGCAGGATGTATTCCGATGCCTGTACCAGTGGCGGACCGAGGAGGGGGGGGGGGGCCCACACCCCGAGAATGGTTCGCGAAATTCTTGAAACTTACCTACATGGGTTATGAAAATGTGCAAATGACTTGTTTATTTTTGTGAATAATTGAACTAATTTTTTAAATTTTTTAAAAATTCAAATCAGCCTTATGAAAGAAATTTTTTCGGGGGCGTGATGGCACGCACCTTCATCTGGAAAAATTCTTTGCCGCGCCTCGCCCCCCCCCCCCGGTCGGTCCTGGGACCGCCACTGGCCTGTACATATGTTAGAATCCGTACACTACATACCATTAGTACAAATAATTTTATTACTCCACTTCATGCTCATGAAAACACCGCAGAAAGAGTTTGAAGGGAGATACGAGCGCACGCCAGTGGTTAGGTGCATTTCGAGTTCGGTCTGAACCCGAAAAAATAACACATATTCTTAATCCAGTTGCTCCGCTAAGCATCTGTAAAATAAATGGAATCCTATGGCCTTTCTACCCATACAAACGCATTTTCAGAGATGAAGTACATGCAAAGGTAATTCCGTTCAAAAAAGCAGATAAGCGTTTCTTATGAAAGTATGGCAAGCTAGACTAAAGCACCGTTTTGCCTTTTGCCTCTGTACATGCACGAAAGACCGTAGAAGCAAGTACTACTTTGAAGAATAGGAATTTCGGGTGGACCTGTAGCACTGGCCGGCTAACTTTTTCCGAAATTTTTAATTTGCCTAACAATCAAATAAAAGCGGCACCCGTTTTGGTTACTGACAGTAGGTTGTTGAACATACAGCTGTAGCGAATCACAGATCAATTCGTTGAAATCCAAGTGAGTTACGGCAGTTTTCAAAGTAAAGGTAGACCTAAAGTTTTGGTCAGCACTGTATTAAGCGGAAAATCCGCTAAACTGTAGCATGCACTTTTTACTTTCTAGCATTCGGAGTATGCGCATGCAGGTCATTAGAAGAGACGCACCATTATCGAGAATTTAAGTGCTTTTGTGCCCAATCCACATCTGGTTTATCTAAAGTTCTGCAGTACTGTATCCGATATAACACGGGGAGAGGGCGCTCCTAGGATTTCTGTCCAAAGGGGAGGGGGGGGAGAGGGGGGGGGGGGGGGGGAGGAGACAAAAAATTCTGAATAAAAGTGCGGGGCGTCAGCCTCCTATTTTCCGAGCCCATGACCCTGAACACTTTGAAATTTTCTACAAGATTGTTATGAAATTGAAATTTTTCAAAAATTATTTTAATCATTTACGTATAAACAAGTCACTGGCCCCTTTTTTCGAAAATCCATATAGGTGACTTCCAAAAATTTCGCGACCCCTTCATGAATTGGTGGAATTCGTTACTGGCCATGGGAAGACGAAGAGACAAAAACTTACTTCCATCAGTCCGTCGAGTTCCTCTAGAGTGATTGCGTCATATTTGAAAAAGGGTTCTGCCATATAGTAACTAGCCTCACTTCCATATGAATATATGAACACAGTTTGGAGCTGAAAAGCGTTACATTACTAAAATGAGCTTCAAAAATGCAAGGACATACTCTCTGTATTAAAGGCTCCACTGAGAGCTTCTTTCCTAGATCAATCCTACCGCATACATCGATAATCAAAGACTTTGTCTGTGCACTTTCTATGAGAGCTAACAAGTGTTCCACCTCACAGCGACATGGAGTGTTGCAAATGACAATCCTTCTGATGGATATTCGCGACTGAGTCAATGTCTGCGTGAGAGACTGGATCATTGGGGTCGTTAGTTCGCCCTAAAAATTTTTTCTTAAAACATCTGACAAATAGTGTGCTGCGGATTGGCAAAAAAGATAAAGTGGTCTGACTTACATAAAGCAAAATGAGAAAAAATATGGCAACGTTGTTGAAATATTCCAATTTTCGCTTGTAATAAAAGCGCATGGATCCTCTCAAGCACCATACATCACCACTCTGATAGGTATAACGAATATATTGATAGTAATTCGTCTCTCACATTAATCAACGTACTGGTGTGAACTCGACGATACCGATGTAGCGCGGCTCTAAGGCGTTCCAGTTTCCCTCGATAAGACTATTTAAAGAGCGACATGTAAGACGGCATGAGCCAAGATCACTCGACGGCAGCTGTAAGAAAATGGATTCCACAAAGAAGCATAAAGGCACCGTCCATCCAAATTGGGGTTGGTGAGTTTATGATACCTAGCAGATGCGGGGCCCCCAACTGTATGATTGCCCTACTCGCGCTGCCTGAAGTTGCTTCCGAACCGAGAAAATTGCTTCGGAAATCGCTTCAGGCCGCGTTTGCGACGTTGGCTCCTCCCCTTTCGGAGTGGGCGTGACGTTCGTCCCGCCCATCCGTGCGCGCCCAACCAATCACCGTATCGAAGAAATCGCTCTATGGACTCCAAAACGGAGGTTTTTCGTGGTTTTCGCGGATTTTCAACTTGATATTCGGAATCAGGGGTATGAGAAGGCCCTGGAACGGCAAAAACATAGAGGTCGAAATTTTGGGTGGACGGTGCCTATAACCATTGACTTATGGACCTTCACTAAAAGGTAAATCTCATGCACTTTCCAAACCTTTCATAGTCTGATGTTTCTACCTGATTTTGTAGTTATTAACGCTTTTGCAGGTTAACCCTTTACCATTTTTCGTGACCATTTTTCGAAAGAGGCTTTTGCTAAAGCGACGATCTTGTTTCTGTCAAGTGCCTATCGAATCGAAGGGTACCAAGTATGAAATACAGGAAGGGAGTAATTCTAAAATGATGATGAGCAAGAAGACCTACCCTCGATATCATCCCATATGTCTTCCCTCAACATGACGTGGATTACGTGGCTTGATGAGGCGCCGCCTCGCCTCGGGCTCGCGCCACGTTGCGAGCGCATCATTTGGCGCGACGTGGCGCTCAACACAACGTGACGCAGGCTTTTCCACGTTCTTCTTGTTGCCACCACGCCGAAAATGCGCACGCAACGTGGCGCAAGCCCGAGGCGAGGCGGCGCCTCATCAAGCCACGTAATCCACGTCATGTTGAGGGAAGACATATGGGATGATATTGAGGGTACAACAATTAGGATGCAAACTTTTAAAGGCAGCGGCTCGGCAGAATGACAACTTCGATATATCCATCGGTCTCGTTCCGCTGAATGAGCTAAGTCCAAGACTGTGCTTTGCAGCTTCAAAAGATATCAATAACGGATTTTAGAAAATTCGAAGCCTTTTACCATAAAAGTCCAGAAATTACCACGTCACAATGTCGCGGGCAACTATTCTTCGGGGCTAAAATCTTCTCTTTGGTTCTTTCTTGGGGGGGGGGGGGGGGGGGGGAACACGACAGGTAAGTATGCTATGATATAGAGCGCATCAAGGACTATGAATCTGGTCATAACTTCTTTAGAAAAAACGCAAGCCTGAGCTTTATCTGCATTTCTTGATAATTAAAGGCAGCAGCTCGCCAAAACCGAACATCCCAAAATTTTGACATGGAAGGTTGCTTGCACCCCAGACATGAGAACAGAGAGGTTCGAGCGCACCGCATGCTGCCCTTGCCTAGAAAACTGCCCCTTAAAGGCAGTGTCCAGGCTAAATCTAATCCCCTCCGATTAGTGTTGATCCTGAAAGTAGGCTCCAGAAAAGGGGCATCTGCGTTGGTCCGGTCTTCTAATGTTGTCTCTGAATGGAGGTAAGGGACCTGAAACTCCCTGGCTGGGCGGAGTCTGATATCAGACTCCGCCCAACAGGGTCTGCTCACTACCATGTCAATACGTGCCTCCCGACACGTACTGACAAGGTAGTGGGCAGAAGCTGCACACTGCACACTGCAATGCAACTGCACCTATGCAGTTGCAGCTCCTTCCCGCTGGCCTGCCGACCGGGACGAGCAATTCGAAACTCGTCCGCGCCCTCAAGACGGGGTCTCCAAAAATCGGGTTTTTTGTGAATTTTACAAAGTTTGAAGTTCGGAACTGTAATCAGGGCCACGGAAAAGCCCCAGAATGACAAAAACCTGGGGGGCCAAATTCTGGGTGCACGCTGCCTTTAACCCGTTACGCGCAAGCCATTCTAATATGCGCGGACGACCCGTCAGAGAAGGCATGCCGCAATGTTATCAATGCGAGGGTCTCGCAACGATTCGGCCTCTCTAACTAAGGCGGGAAGTGCTCCACTCGTCCAAATTCAAAATGGGAGGCCTTGGGTGGTGTGCTTTGCCATTTTCGCGCTACTCAAGGTGGATTTTCGGAATCAGCGCCTCGAATTACCCCATGTAAGCAAAAAAACTGCAAATCAAGAATATGTCGACCTGCTGCCTTCCTTCCAACTCCCTCTTTCAATTGTTGCAATAAAACCAATTAAAAACATTTAGCAAAGCTGTCTAAATAAAATAAATGCCCTTTAACATGTTCTATGCATGGGAGTGTGCTGATGAATTTCTTCGTTGAAAATGGCTCTTGGTAGTGCCATACCTTCAATAGTCTAGAGACAGGGCGCCAAAGTGAAGGTTGTTTAAACATCTGACGTCATAAATAGTGAAGGTTGTTTAAAGATGATCAAAGAAGAGAAAATGACATAAAACCGATTTAAAAAAGCAAAAGAAACTGCTGAAAACCAGATAAAAACGCTGCAATGAAGCTTGAAATCCTTCACTTGGCGGCTTTTCAAAGTGCAAGTTTTCGCTTCAGGACCAGCAATCGCAACACGGGGTTTTGATTTTTGATGAGTCCTTTAAATTTTTACCCCCGCATTAAGGTTCCTGTTTCCTGGAACGTTGTCTGGATTGTTGCGTTTATTGTTCTGAGCAATAATTGCCCAAGCTGGAAAAAAATCGATGCGAAAGCACTGAAACTGAACAAGGTAAAGAAAAACGCACTTTTTACGATTTTTCGCAAGAAATTCCACAGTAATCGAAGAAAAGGCTGGGTGGTTGTGTCCATTATGAACAGAGGCAAGTTCTTTAGATTGCATGAAAAAACCGCATGAAAAGAGTTAAACTAGAAGAAAAACAAGAGATTTTCGAAAACAAGGTTTTCGCCGGATTTCTCGACCAAATCAAAAAATATGGTTTTGGGACGTTGTCAGCGTGAAAATAGAGATCAAGAGCTTCAAAATGATATTTAGCTTGCTAAAATTGGGTTCGAAACAGCGAAGAAAAGGGTACCAGAGCCAAATGCCCCGCGCCCCGCGTTTGGGGTAGCGAGTTAGCGCGCAGCGCGCGGAGACGCAGACGAGCAGCGGAGACAGAGCCGACGGGGCATTTGGCTCTGGCCGTAGATCTTCGCGGGGTCTCAACGAAACCCCGCAACATTATATATCATTCTGATCGTCATGACACGACGAGGAGAACTGACAACGTCCCAAGCTTTGAAAATCATTCATTAGCGAGAAGACCAGCGTTTTTGTGCGCGACCCTCTGCGCAAGATTCAAGCGCAGTTTCTCGTTCTTATTTAACTCCAATAGTTTTTTTAAACTTCTGAAACTCGATTTCGTTCAAGTGAGAGGTTAACTAAGAAATTTTGTCCTGAATTTTGGCGAAAATCCCACGGAAACCTTTTTTAAAAGTAAAAAAGGCCATGAAAACGCAAATTCTCCGTTTCGCTAAGATAAGCTAAAGATTTTATTTCCTATATAAGATCCATTTACATTCGCTCCACTATAATCAGGATAATAACATCCAGGGCTTCGCCCCGAAGACTTCTGTTTTTTTCCTGGTGAAGGTTGTGTCCCTTCATAGCCCTCAAAGTAATGGTTACCAGAGTAAGTGGCTCTATGTATCGAGGGTATGGTAGTGCGTGCACATGATCTTACTTGCACCCTCACTAATTTATACCGTTTTGCAATCTTGCAGATCAACCAGTCATCCTGCAAACCTGTACTTACGCTCATTCAAAAGAGCGAGACCTCTGCGACACGATGATATGCAGTAGATGTACAGGGCTTATCAACTGAAATGTCAGGTGCACCAGCATCTCCATTTCCGCGCTGGACTCTACATCTCTTCCACCCCAGGGCGAGCGTGGGAAAGGCGGAGCCTCAATTGATTAGAGAGCATGTTCCGCGAAAGAAACGCAAAGTTCAACGCGGGAACGGAGATGCTGGTGCACCTGACACTTCAGCTGATGCCCTGTAAGTTTGAATAATCCTGAAAATTTGAGGACGAGGTTGAAAAAGCGCAGCTGGTAGTTGGAATAAAATTGGCTTAGGCTCTTCTCCACATCAAAAAAGTCCTACCTTCGGATGAATTAATTACAAGAAAATCAACAGTTCCCTAACAACAATGAAGATGGTGATGGTGAAGCTCTGTCTGACCATATCTGGGAGATTAAGCCTACCACTAGCCTACCACGTCTTTGAATCCCATTCAAATTTCCAGGACTTCATGAACTTACCTCTACTGCTCATCATCGTGTCGCAGAGGTTTCCTCTTTCGAATGAGCCTATGTACAGGTTCCTACCGTACTCGCTCTATCCATGGCCACTTGCTCACAAGCGGTAGAGCCATCTCCATCCTGTTATTGTTTATAGGAATCATCTACTCCCTCCTACGCAGTCGTTTATCTTTATGCCTTTTTCTCTTCACCCTTAATCTTCCGTGATGTCTCTGTTCCTCAGCTCTCACATATTATCTTTTCCAATGTCTTACATCTCGCAAGCATCAACAGGCAAAATGAACCCGCCCATTTCCAGGAACGCGTATAATCCGAAGTTTTTCTGACAAATACACACATGGGATATTAGCACCATTGTAGAGTTTTTTTAAGCATTCTTCATCTACTGTGTGCGGTTGCGCTCTTCAACCTTTTTACAAGCACCATCCTTTCCTTTAAACCATATCAAGGCAAGTGCTAATTGGGTTTATATGTCTTTGTGAGGTATAAGTACTAATGAGTAGATTTGTTGTGGGGTTATATGAAGAAGAGTTGAATTTCGCCGGTTCAATCGGTTGAACCACACACTCCGGGCACTTGTCTTGCAACTTTGGAGTTTTCTCCAAGTCTCTGTCATCCTTTATGCTGACTCTTCCCTCAGTCAATTTCGTAATCCTTTCTAATCTCTATGAAGCTTAAAACGCACTGATCTGTCATTCCCTAACTTCCGGGGGACCTTCCGCTGAAAGAAGGTACCTCAAAATAGAGTAATTGAACCATCGATGACACCTCTGCCACATAGAGTCTCACCTTTGCTCGGCGTATGCCCGAAACTGCTTAAAAAGAGTCCGAGCGCCTGCTGCAAGTTCGGTCAGCGCTTGCTGAAAGAGATTATTTAACGAGCGCCTGCAGAAAATTCTGTTGCTGCCCGCTGGCAGAACATTAGCCAGTAGAGGAAGTACCGCTCGCTGAAGGTTTGGCCATGCCCCGAAATTCTGCTGATGGCTTGCAGAAAAGCGCGAGTTTGCGGACCGCCTGCCCCCGGCGATTATCTGAGTGGTTGTCTGCATCTGAAGGAAACCCTGACACCCTAAATGTTAGCGGTTTTGCTCTCTTCTGGAATTCCAACATTTGTTAATAAAAGAGGTACCATCGAATTCTGCGCCTGATATGTCTAGCGAACCTAATCGGGTTCATTCGAAGCGCCAACTTTTGAAGGTAGACACGTAGATGTTACAAATGTATTTCACTGTCTACCCAGTCGAACTGATAATAATGACGGGCATTTTTTTGCTACTGTGCTCATCTTAGAAGCGTTATGGGCAATATGAGGTGTATTTGATGATAATGCTTGCAATTAATTTCTTCTCAATGTTCAGATGTACCTTCGCTACCGTTTCCATGCGTTTTTTCTTTCTTCCATGGAAAATGGTTGAATCATCAAAACACCAGAAAAGTCGTTTACCGTTTATGCAGCGTTGCTTGTCAGAGAGTGTAATGTGATAAGTGAAATCGATTTGCTGCATTTTCTTGCATGAATCTATCTTCTATTCGGTGTTTCACTCGTTTGATCGGTTTTTGAATAGTAGGCCAGTCTTCCACTGAAGTCGCACCTAGTCCAAGTGAGATGCTTCCTGTGGGGAGACGGTCAAGAGGCGCGACTTCTCTGGCTGTCACCAACTTAAAAGCCCATTTCTGCACTACACAAATTTTTAAAAAATTCCAGAGAAAGTCGTTTAGCTTACCAGCTGTTCGAAGTTACCATTTACTGAGTTTCACGGCTTTTGCTGCAAAAATGACCGAGATATTCACGAAACTGCCATTATTTGCATTTTCATGGGTTTTTGACCTCCAATGTTTCTGTTTTGGAACTTTTTTAAGATGATAAGATCAGACAGCTCATGCAACGATCTTCTATAATTTCTCAGAAATTCGAAAGGCCTCTAAAACATTACTAAACATTTAAAATGTGCAATTTGATGTCCAGCTGGCAATAAAAACCGCGCCTCTTGACATACACCCCTTCCTGTGCCATCACCGTCATCATATGAATCGGAAGAGGATGCTTTCAAGATGATAGCATGACAGTTTCTCATTTTCCAAAAGAACTGTTCTGACTAGCAGATTGGAATTATCAGAAAAAATACTTGAAATCTTCTTTTGAAGTATCCGGTCAACAACAAGAATAAGCCGACACGCTCAGTACCAGAAGAACGAAAACAAGGCAGTGCGATACAATCTCATCTTACAAGGGAATGGTCAGAAGTCGAAGTGGCCAATCCAAAAAGCTGCATACCATTCGATGCAGCATCGAACGCTGATTTCAAACCTTCCTTCCGTATCTGCAGAGCACCTTTGTAGGCGAAGTTATGAGCAGCTTTACTGCGAAAAAATCGTACGCAAAAATTGCGAGACTAGGCACACTGTTGCCGTTTTAGCTCACCTTTGAGTACGAGCCATATGAAGAGATCTAGTTGCATGTTTTGGTCCAACACTGTGCCGAGAGTGGCTCTGCACGGCCAAGTTTGACCTTTACACGCATGATCCTAGCAAAATTATGGCCTTTAACGGCTTATAATTTCATCCACAAAAGCGCTCTGCAGATAAGGAAAGCAGATTTAGAGCCAGCGTTTTATGCTGCATCTAATGGTATGCAGCTTGTATGGATTGGCCACTTCGACTTCTGACCATTCCCTTGTTAGCAAGTAAACATGCTACCTCAAATTTGCAGTTTAGTATAATATTATATCTAAATACTAGCTGGCTTACCCGGCTCCGCCATATGTTCCGAATAGAAAATTCCATTTCTTAACCGATCCGGACCAAACTTGGCACACATACACTTCGGGCCCCGGAGGGTGTCACAGTCCACTTTTCGTTATCGATCGATGTCCATTTTATCGATTTTTTGCAAAATTTGAGCTAGGGGGCTGCAATTTGGCAGAGGGGGTAATCAGGGCCCGGCACGAGCTTGTCAAAAGGGGTTTTCGAAAACGAATTCCCCTTTGACCCCAAAATTTTCTACGAATACCCCTTTGACTCAGAAATTGGCCCTTGTACTTGTGCAGCGAAACCCTTTACCATGAAACACAATTTTTATTGAAGAAACTACTAAAAGAATCTATCGACAACAATACCAAAAAAAAACAAGTGGTGATTATTTCGGAATCTACAATGACGTTTACATAAAAAAGCTCCTCAACAACAAATCATCTCGTGGTGTTGATTCTGACATTCGTAGTTAGGTCGCCACAGAAAAGGAGGACATCGCAGGTCGAGCTTCATTGACTAAGAAGGATTGCGCGATCGATCTGAATCATAAATTTCAAGATTGCCGTCGTTGACAAGATGCAAGAAATATTGACTACACTCACAAGGGAAGGATACCAACATTAGTTGGCAATTGAAGATGAGATGTATATCATTAGATTCGCCTTTGAACGCTGTTTCCAAAACTGCTTTCCTGTTTTGCGGAATAAGTTTCCGAAAGAAGTTATGAGCGTTTGAATGTCCAGATTTGCCAAGCACTGAGCGGCTTAAAATCAGCGAAGTGCTCTAAAACAACACCTATGCGGTTTCCACCGGCTGTGTTCCTTCCTTGCAAACAATATACTCGATACAAGAATAATTTTTCACTTTCCAGTGTTTTTGTACAGCTTGACGCCAATTTTAGGCCACCTAAACCTTCACAAAATCGAACATTTGAACGCCCACAACTTCTTTCGGAAACGTATTCCGCAAAAAAGAAAAGCAGATTTGGAATCAGCGTTCAAAGGCGCATCTACTGATACACATCTCATCTTCAATCGCCAACTAATGCTGGTATCCTTCCCTTGTCAGATGTGTCCGAAGTGGTTAAATGCGTTTCCTCGTTTCTTAACACCCACATTCCATAATTCTAGAGTTGATGCGATTTGACATAAATAATGTTCTAAACCAGATGCAAGACTATGGTAATGCATGGTAAGCATGGAAGAAAAAAAGCATCACCAAGGTGTGACCTAACAATAAGTGCAGTCATAATATAGAAAAGAAAAAAGCAAAGGGCACAGAGAAGAAAATTGTTTACTTTCAAGTTTCATATTTGTTGTAAATGACCCGCTTGTTTTCCATACTTACAAACATGCAACACCGTGTATTGCACAAATGCTCTAATAGCTACTGCAGGACGAAGGCGCAGAAACAACGCGCGCATATCTTCACCGTTTTGATTCTTGCGCCTCCTGCGCTCTGCGGCTGATAAACCTGCGTTCGCGCCCAAATATATTGCGCCTTCGTCATGCAGCAGCCTATAGAACATCACTTCCAGCTATGTAACCATCTTATATATAAAGCTGAATGTCTGTTTGTATGTATGTCTGTCTGTCTGTATGTCTGTCTGTCTGTGTGTACGTATGTTCCGAATAGAAAATTCCATTTCTGAACCGATCCGGACCAAACTTGGCACACATACACTACGGGCCCCGGCGGGTGTCATAGGCTACTTTTCGTCATCGATCGATATCGATTTTATCGATTTTTATCGATTTTTTTGCTGAGTTCACCTACGGGGCTGGGAGTTGGCAGAGGGGGGTAATCGAGCATGGGGATTCCGAATACAATATTGGTTTTCAGGATTATCGATTACTTTTATCGATTTTATCGATTTTTTTGCAAAGTTTGAGCTACGGGGCTGGGAGTTGGCACAGGGGGGTAATCGAGCATGGGGATTCCGAATACAATATTGGTTTTCAGGATTATCGATTACTTTTATCGATTTTATCGATTTTTTTGCAAAGTTTGAGCTACGGGGCTGGGAGTTCGCACAGGGGGGTAATCGAGCATGGGGATTCCGAATACAATATTGGTTTTCAGGATTATCGATTACTTTTATCGATTTTATCGATTTTTTTGCAAAGTTTGAGCTACGGGGCTGGGAGTTCGCACAGGGGGGTAATCGAGCATGGGGATTCCGAATACAATATTGGTTTTCAGGATTATCGATTACTTTTATCGATTTTATCGATTTTTTGCAAAGTTTGAGCTAGGGGGCTGGGAGTTGGCACAGGGGGGTAATCGAGCATGCTGATCATCCCCAAGGGGGGTGATCAGCACGCTCGAACACCCCTGTGCCAAATTCCAGCCCCCTAGCTCAAATTTTCAAAAAATCGATAAAATCGATAAAAGTAATGGACGATCTTGAAAACTAATATTGTATTCGTAATCTGCATGCTCGATTACCCTCTGTGCAAACTCCCAGCCCCGCAGGTCAAACTTTGCAAAAAAATCGATAAAATTGATAAAAGTAATGGACGATCCTGAAAACTAATATTGTATTCGGAATCCCCATGCTCACTTCCCCCCTGTGCCAACTCCTAGCCCTGTAGGTGAACTCTGCCAAAAAATCGATAAAATCAATAAAAGTAATCGATAATTCTGAAAACTAATATTGTATTCGGAATCCCCATGCTCACTTCCCCCCCCTGTGCCAACTCCTAGCCCTGTAGGCGAACTCTGCAAAAAAATCGATAAAAATCGGTAAAATCGACATCGATCGATAACGAAAAGTGGACTGTGACATCCGCCGGGGCCCGAAGTGTATGTGTGCCAAGTTTGGTCCGGATACGGCGGAGCCGGGTAAGCCAGCTAGTCCCCGATAAAAAGCACGGATCGTTAAAGAATAGAAAATGCAAAGAAACACTTTGAAAAATCTTAGCTGGATGTAGGCAATACTCCTCGCGTCCGTCCTCAACGGCAATGGGCTAAGTGCAAACGTTTTACAAGCCTATTTAAGCTAATTTGTGATGAAAGATTAAGAGAATGACAAAAAAACTAGAAAATTGTTCTATCATTGAGCTGCAGCGTGCGCCAGGGACATTAGCCTAACGTGATGCCCCTCGGCTGCAAAAGCGGCAGCGCCAGCGCGGTCTGACGCTTCCTTTGATGTCTAACTTTGAATGGGTTGTTTCAGACTGCCGCACTGACCGCAGCAGACTGCAGCAGACTGCAGGACCGCACTGACTGCAGCGGCCGCACAGATCGCGCGTACTGCGTCCTTTCATAAGGGTGGATAGGATGAATAGTTGTAACTCAAACAATCAACAACAATATATATGTCTAGACCCACGACACGAGCGAGAGTATTAGAAAAGGAATAAATAGGACGAATCAGAACAACTATGAGCATATCAAAGAAAAACAATCGCCAAAATTTGCTTAAGAAGAGTAAAATAGAACCTTCTATGGACTTCCTAGGCGTAAATCACGGTATTTTGACGTAAACGCTTGTTCTCCTCTACGAAGGATGCAGCGATAGTGCGGAAGCTGCGGTCAGTGCGATCACCTACAGTCTATGGCCCCGGGCATACTTCACGCTATTTGGTCGTCGCGATTAAGTCCCTACAAGACAAGTGCTACGAGTTCATTGCATGCCGATCTTCTTGTATTTCGGTTGTGATAGTTAGTCACGATTAGCCGTGTTTGAAAACTACTATCACAACCGAAATGCAAGAAGCTCGGCATGCAATGATACTGTTACAGTTGTCTTATCGCGAGCAGTCGCGACGATCAAATCGCTTGAAGTATGCCCGAGGCCTAATGCGGTCAGTGCGGCAGTATAAACAACCCAATGAGAGCCTTTAAACCGCGCCGGTTGCCGCTTTTACGCAGAAGCACCATTGTAAAACGCGAAGAACCGGGTACCACATCAGACAAACAATGTGCAAAGAAATTCTTTACCATAGAAGAGAATCTCCAGAGCGGCAAGTTAACGACAAAACAAAAAATCGTGCAAGTATCCTGCGAACAAACACTTACGCGCCCCACAGACAAAACTGACCTCGGGCTTCGGTGCAAAAGCGCCAACCGGCCGCACAAGCCGCAACCGAGCGGTCTGGAGGCTTTTTTAAGCCTTGGCATACCTCACGCGATCGCAGTGTGACGCGATTTGGCAATACTCCAAGTGTTTATAACTCATCCTAGGCGCATTCTGGATAAACAGAACATAAGGCATTTATCGATCTGCGAACGTCTCCTCTTTACATTTAGAATGGGCTCAAAATTTGTTATGGATAGTAAAAATTTGCCAAATCGTGTCCCAGCTGAAATCGCGTAATGTGTGGCCAACGCCTTATGCCAAGCGCTGCTCTCAACGAAGTGCTACCCACATGGGAGTGGTTAATTTACTGACCAAACAAGAAATAGAAATACTTTTTTAAAAAATACATGAAAATCTTGAAATAACGAAGAAAATCTCAAAACGAAAAACACTGTTGTTTACCTAACGTTCTGCAAAAGCCAGCACATTGTCGAATCCCGCATTTTCAGCTACAATGCGTCGTTATTTTTCCGGTCCAAAACTTCTGAAGGCATAGCGGACTGGCGATCTGCCACCAAAGGCGGAGTACCTTTCGCATCATTACCTAAAATCATAAATGAAAAGAAGTAACATCAAAACGTAAGACAAGTATCTTGGGCGCCGATTACAAACGAGTGCGGAAGAAAGTAGTCCTACCTAGCATATGATCAATGTTTGCAACTTCAAATCCACTTTCAACAGCACTGCTCGTTCCTAGTGAATGAAGCATTGAAAGCTGCGAAACGAAGTGAAATGGAGAAGAAGAGAAAGTTGGAAACGACACGCGAACAAGGAAAAAGTAAACAGCAGCTAGCTTAGCGCAAATTAGATATGAAAAAAAGCCGAAGCAAGCCAAAGTCTCCTCAATACTAATTGAGAAACGACGACCACCAAGTGAAAAAACGAACGATGCCGAACAGATTGTAGTAAATATCTTATATATAAAGCTGAATGTCTGTTTGTCTGTCTGTCTGTATGTCTGTCTGTATGTCTGTCTGTCTGTATGTATGTACGTATGTTCCGAATACAAATTTTTATTTCTGAACCGATCGGGACCAAACTTGGCACACATATACTTCAGGGCAGGGAGCGTGTCATAGGCTACTTTTCGTTATCGATCGATATCGATTTTATTGATTTTTTGCAAAATTCGAGCTAGAGGGCTGGGATTTGGCAGAGGGGGGTAATCGAGCATGCTGATCACCCCGAAGGGGTGATCAGCATGCTCGATTACCCCCCTGTGCAAAATCCTAGCCCCCTAGCTCAAATTTTGCAAAAAATCGGTAAAATCGACATCGATCGATAACGAAAAGTAGCCTATGACACGCTCCCTGCCCTGAAGTGTATGTGTGCAAAGTTCGGTCCCAATCGGTTCAGAGATAAAAATTTCTATTCGGAACATACGTACACGGGTCTAGCTGGCAGGCCCGGCGGAGCCGGGCAAGCCAGCTAGTATCTTATAAGCAGCTTATAAGCAAACTCAAAAGTAAATGTCAAAGCAAAGCAAGGAAGAACACATTGCGAAGAACTGCACCTAAATTCAAAGGCAAAACAGTTTAAAACTAGAATAAATGAAGAAAGGAACAAGAGAGAAGAAAACAGCAAGAGAATGTTACAGCAATGCGATTATAGGACTCAGCGACGCCATTATCGATTGGAGCGCGCTTTCTCCTTAGGAAACGGGGCTGTTGAGGCTATTTTCGCCTCTAGCAATGGGGAGCGGAGGAGGTTTGGGACCAAATTTTCAGTATATACTAATGTTTAGGCGTAGAGTAGATTTATATAAAAATTTTGGAAAAATTATGTGAGTTGAGAGTTTTGCCAAGCTCAGCTTGTCATTAGCTTGTCAAATGACAAGCTAATTTGGAAATAAGTTGGGGAAACTCTTCATTCACATAAGTTTTTCATAATTTTTCATACTTTGTTACTTAGTCCTACTGCGCATATACACACCGAATCCCGCGCGATTTCGTCGCCTCTGCGTTGCAAACGAGCCATTTTTCCATTTCTTTAGTAGCGGGAAATTTTCAGAAAAAACTTTGCCACAACCTTCAATCACATAATTTTTCAATGAAACTCCTAAATTAGCTCCTACAGGCTTGTGTCCACGTGCGTACCAAGTTTCATACCATATCGTCATCTGCGCGTTGCAAACGAGACATTTGAATTTACAACTTCATTTACCAATTTTGCAAAATCTTTGGAAAAATGCTTATTACTCGTCCCGTTCACATAAGTTTTTCATAATTTTTCATACTTTGTTTCCACTAGCCTCTCTCCGTTCGCCTACAAAATCTGGTGTCATACCGTGACGCGTACATTGAGAACTAGTCATGTATGCCGTTACAAATAGCTCGTTTGAGCGACGTCGCGCGTGCGGCAATTAGCGACGGCGCGGTTTGACGCGCGCGAACTCCAGTCTTCGCATGTTGAGGCACATAACATGTTAAAATAAGCAGAGAACGTGCACTACCAATTTTTTTCCGGGGCTCCGCCCCGGACCCCGCAAAAACGATTTCCTCTTTGCTTTTTTTGCCGAAAACGATTTCCAGCTTGTCATTTGACAAGCTCGTGCCGGGCCCTGTATATGTCTCACAAAAGTGCATGCTTGATCTCGTATACATGTCGTCCTTGCCATCATTAGGTCGTATACTATAAGCCCCGCTGTTGCTTCTATCAAAGACATTTCTTGGCTGGAAAGGAGCCAGAAAAAAGCTCCAGTATACCCAAGGGGCGAGAAGTCACCGGCGTTCGCGACTCCGTACCCTGTGCGGCTGGATTATTGCACGATTCAAGCCCCGACATGATTCGAGCGCCTGAATTATCGCATAGTGTAGTTGTCGCGACTTTGTCTACATAACGGTGAAAATGCAGCAACTGAATTACTAAAACTTTCTATGGCCGTAATATCTGGCCTCAGGCAAAGGAAATTTTCAAAAAAAAATTCAAATTAGCCCTAATAAAAAAATTTTCGGAGGCCCGCAAAATTTTTGAGAAGCTCCCTAAAATATTTCTCGTTAGCCACGCACCTTTGAAAAAGTTTTTGCCAAATCTTGCTTTCAGAGTATGCCTACGGAAGAATATGAACAATTGTAGTAATCAGAACCGTCGGCGAGAGATATGACCGATGCCTTATATCAGCGAAGCGTTATCGCAAATTTGGCCAAACCGCAACAATTTTAATGGGGAAGAGGGGGGGGGCAGGTTTTTCTCCGCTCGGACTAGCACAACATGCACAGCGACCGGCAAAAACGAACATGCAATTGCGTCTTACTCGATTGGCGACAGGGCGACAAAAACGCGTGAGGTGTGCCAGGAACTCAAGCCTTTGTGTAACCGAATGATCAGCTAGCTCAGAAGGCGGCTGCTTAGCAACATAATTTATATTTCTACAGTGTTTGGCGGACTACTCAAGGATGAAGTTTAGAAATGTGGACTGGGTGCTCAAAATAGATGAAGACAACGAGTTCTATCTGCACCTCAAAGGTTGGTTGCTCTTGAATCTTATTCACCCAATATAACCACTACTTTGTTAAGACATCAGTGGTCGTCTACCTCCTAACCCCTCATTCTATCCGCGACTTGTAGAGGACGAGCAGTTTGACTTTTTGAGAATCCCTCCCGAAATCCAGCTGATGGTTTTGCGTCATGTAGGTTTCTTGCATAATGTAACTGTTGTAGTACGAAAGTCCTTGAGTAAGCGTTGCCCAGTGAAAGCGGCTGGTCTCTGTTCAAACTACTTGAATATGATAAGTGATATGCATAATGAGAGGTTAGGAATCCGTCGGAGTCGGCCGATGTTACTACTGTTACCAGTGTTACTCGTGTTACCCGTGTTACCCGTGTTACTAGTGTTGCTAATGTTACCACTTTTCTTGCTGTTGAGTAGAGAAAGATGATTGTTTGAGACTGTATTGGTGTCATCTTACTAGTCAACAGCAATAAAAGCGGTGACACTAGTAACACTTTAACACGAGTAACACCGGTAACGCGAGTAACCTTGTAAAATAACGCTGATAACAGTGATAAAATTGGTAACATCGGCAATTTTTGAAGGTTCCTTTAGAATCGTGGACTAGTATAGGTGAATGTAAGACATCGGGGCAACAGCTATAGAATGAGAGACCTCGTTCGTTCAAGGCAGTGTCCGGGCAAAAAGTCGATTTCAAAATTTTGCGCTTAACCGGCCATAGAGAGCGCGAAAATGGCGAAAAAAAGTTCTAACGCAAGGGAAATTAGCATGTGTGGGGGGGGGGGAGGGTCTCCCACTGTGACTCCACGCTCCCAGCTTCCGGAGCGATCTTCTCGATTCCGCTAGCCGCCCCCTGACATCGCCAACGGCCAAGAACGCATGACGTGAAATCGGATCTGAGAAGATCGCTGCGGAAGCAGGGAGGTAAACTTACCCACGCCCAGCTGCTGATTGCCCTCCTACGTCAGAATCCTTTTTCGCCGTTTACGCGCTCTCCACTGTAGATTTTCGGATTCAGCATAGGGAATAGGCCCAGCTAAGCACAAAATCTCAAGATCGAGATTTTGCTCGGATGCTTTCTTAAAATGCGCATGTGAATGCGAGCTACAGATGCACGTAAATTTTCTTTAGGTTAGTGCGGGATTGAAAGTGTTTTGGATTTCAGCATGAGATCACGTAGTGGACATATAGATTGTCTGCGGTATTTACGCGAGAAGCCGCATTTGACCAATAGAAAAAGAGGGACTACAAGCAGTGTCAAAGACAGTGGCGTGGCAAACCCTCAGCCTGAAAACTTGCTTACCTGGGGTTCTCCGATTCCTGATTCCAAAAACTGACCTTGGAAGGGCTGCCGGCGCGGTATGAAGGTACCCAAACGAATGTATCCGTGAATTCTACACTTTAGAGGATAATCAAACTAGTAAAGATCGCCATTTTCATAAAAGCACACCTTTGTGGGACGTTTTTCTGGAAAGGGATGCTGTTGCTACGCAAAGACGGATGGGGAAGTGAAACAGCAATACTCGTAATTTGCGAAATCTAACAATAATAACAAATTACTTCTCAACACCTCTCTTTCCCTTTCTCCACGGGATTTTTCATACGATATTTATATTTACCCTAATTTCAAGCGTATAAGGCGCGGGGGATTTTTTCCAAAATCGACCAGCCCAGACACGCCAAAGGGCTTTACAACCAAAGGACCCGATAACGTGCTGCATATTGCTTGAGAGAATCGTGCGATGTAAGGATTTCTTTCCGAGATGCAGTGAACCGGCTGAGCGGCTCACTTGAAAATTCGAAAAAGTGCGCCTTATGCGCGTGAAATTAGGGTGTTTATATATTTACTGCACATATGATATATAAATACATCATAGTACACCCTTAGTAGAAGAAAAATCGTTTAATTTTCGGCCCATGTATAATTGGGCCAGAGCTGCCAAAAGTATGTTATAATAATAAGCGCATTATCAGGGGCAAGAATTAACAGATATAGGTAATAGCTGCCGTATAAAAAACTGCTTTATACAATGGCGTTCAATCTCTGCGTGCTTTTCTTCGTAAGCTTTGAGAACTACAAAGTCATTAGAACATCAAACTACGAGGTTTTTGCTTGAAAAGAGTATAGAATTTGTTTTTCATTGAAGGTCCATACACTCATTAGAAAATGATGATGTTCCTTTGTTGCGATCCAATTTCTTACAGCTGCCGTCGTCTGATCTTGGCTCATGCCGTCTTACATGTCGCTTCTTAGACAGACTTATTAAGGGGAACTGGAATAACTTGAAGCCGCGCAATATCGGTGTTGTTGAATTCACTCCAGTACGTTAATTAGCGCAGGAGACGAACTGCTATAGTTATGTATTTCAGGGTGGCGATGTCGGATGCTTGAAAGGATTCATACGCTTCTATTACAAGCGAAAACTGGAATCTTTCAACAATGTCGTCATATTTGTCCTTATTTCATTTTATGTAGGTTACAGCACTTCATCTTTTCTATCAGTGCAGCATATCGTCTGATTTTTGGGTGTTCGGATGAAAGAATTTAGGGCGAATTTACGATCCCAAGGATCCAATCTCTCACGCAAATATTGAATCAGTCGCGAATATCCATCAAAAAGATTGTCATCTGTAACACTCCATGTAGTTGTGAATTGGAACATTTGATAGCTCTCATAGAAAATGCACATGCTGAGTGTTTGATCATCGATGTATGTGGTAGGATTGATTTAGGAAAGAAGCTCGCAAAGGATCCTGTAGTAAAGAGAGTATGTTCTTAGATTTTGAGAATCCTTCTCGTAAATTAACGTTTTTCAGCTCCAAGGTGTGCTCATCTATTCAAATGGAGATGAGGCTAGTTACTTCACGGCGAAAACGTTTATCGACTATGAGTCATTCAGTCTCGCAGATATGCGCGAAGTGATGGAAGTAAGCTTTTGCCACATCTGAAAATTACATCTGTGACTGATCTGTAAATGCAGTCTCTTTTGACACAGCGGTAATACCCATAATTTCTCCGATTTCTTCTATTGCGAGGCACGACTCACCGATGAGTTGTAGAATCTGCAAAGCTTTAATTTTGCCATTTCAATTTGGATGAGTCAGATTCAGCTACGAAATTCATTATGATTGGAAGCATAGAAACGAAGGTCTACTCAGCTTTGTGCTATGTTGTGATAGAGGCAGTAAAGTCACATCAAATGAAGTGGATGTGGAGCTCGAAAACCGCTCAAACTTTCATGAATGTATGCCGTTTCCCTCACAATTTCTGTGCGAACAATGCGAATGTTATGAAGTAGGGATTGTCGACCGACTTTTCCATCTAAGTTTTATTGTTGAGAAAATCCTACTATGAGACTACAGCGTCCTGTACGATCATACCAAAGTAAAAAAAAAAGAAGATGTATACTTGCGATACTCAAGACAGTGCAGCGATCCACGGACAGAGAAAGCCTGACAAGGAAAGGGAGCTCTGATATAAAGTTTTAAAGGACTGTACAGACTTGATATCAAGAAATTTCTTCTCAAGCAAAATGTAGAAAACTTACGTAATTTTACGACTGGTAAGAAAAATGGATCTGAAAAAGAAGACTTTATACATTTGAGCGGCGTTGCTTTTTGAATTCCAAATTCAGACAGTTTTCATTCCTCGTTAAAGGCGGCTCGGCAGACTGACAACTTTGAAATATTCATTGTTCTTGGCTTCTCTGGATGACTGTGTAAAAGATTGTGCTTTGCACCTTTTGAAGATTTAATACTCGCTTTTCCGTGGTGCCGCCAAGATGGGTGGGGTGTCTCCACCCACCCGGACTTCATGAGCCAGTCGCTTTCTAGAGGGTGAGCTTCTGCTTCTCACTCAAAACAGCACCTTCATTTCCACGTCCGGAACGGGTTATTACTGTATTCAGAAGCTGCAAAAAACAGTTTTCGACTCATCTCATCCAGGAAAACCAAGAGCAATAAAAACTTTGAAGTCGCCGATCTGTCAGCCGGCATTTTGCGCGGCATGTGTCCGGTCTCAACTGTAGCTATTATAGTCGTCCTCAGCCCACTAGACACTTATTGGACGTTTGAATTTGGATCTCAGCAGGCTGTTGGCATCAGAGCACGGCACACTCAGCCCTCCGCTGGAGTTTATACACGATTCCTAACTATATGCTTCTCAGCCTTTTCTTCTAACTTTCTTAAGGTGGTAGAGTTTTTCAATGTCCGCAAAATAGAAGGAGCACACTCGGGAAGGTTTTGAGGCCTGCCAAGAAAGAAAAGCTCAGAAGCACATCAATTTCCAAATTCTGACGTTCACCAAAATAGGCTTCTACCAGTGGCGATCCCACGATTTCCGTTTGGGAGAGGGGGGCGGGGAGGGCGCGCGGCAAAAATCCGTGCGCACTCGGAAATTTCAGAGGTGCTTCTTAAAATTTTGCGGCTTCCCAACCCCTAAAATCTGGAAAAAGGGGGCGTGGCGTCAGCCACGCCCTTGAACAAATTTTTTAAGAGGCTAATTTGAATTTTCAAAGAATTTAACGAATTATTTTAATTGTCTACAGAATAACCCAGCACTTGCACATTTTTATAACCACTTAAGCAAGTTTCAAAAATTTCGCGACCCATTCTCGGGGAGGGGGGGGCCCTCGGTCCGCCAGCGACTTTTACATGTTTCTTGCCAAAAAAGAGACTTTTTAGAGATCCTTAACAGCATGGTTTTTTTTTTCTTATTTGGAATTAAAGGTAAGTAAAAAACATAACAACATGGGGCACTTGGAACGCTCGGCATTAACGAGATTTTCAATTCTGCTTACACCGATTCAATAAGAAAATTGGAAAGTAATCTCTATCCTTCTTATATATATAAAGCAGAAAATCTGTGAGTGCGTTTGTGTGTTTGTGCACATTCGGGCAGGTTGTACAGGTTGTGCGGGGTGTGCAGGTTGTGCAGGTCATGCAGGGTATGCTGGGTGTGCAGGGTGTGCAGGTTGTGCAGGATGTGCGGGTTGTGCAGGGTGTGCAGGGTGTGCAGGTTCTACAGGGTGTGTAGGATGGGGAGGGGGGTAAGTGAACATGCTGATTCGAATACATTATTGACAGGACCGGGCGGAGCCGGGTTTGCCAGCTCGTGGTTGATAAACGGAAGATGTGCGCACGAACTTACCGGGAACTGCCCGTGCCGCGCTCCAACGCCAGTGGTCTGCTCAGGATCAAATCAGAGTTTTTCCGTGTTCGTCTGACGCGCTGAGGACGGTTATAAAGGTTGTCCCAAAAAATGTGTCTACTGGAATATCAGAAACTGTTGTCGTGAAATCTTTGTAGAACCTTTACGTACCATTTTGTAGAGTAGCTTCAACTTAGATTCGCAGTATAGAGAAATCACACTTCTTTACTCATTACAGTAGGATTATGGTAAGAATTTTAAAGAGGATTTTGAGTCATGCATGGTCCTGCTTTAGCTTAGAAAAGAAACAAAAGGACCTGAAAACTCTCACACTATAATTAGAATTGCGAATTGTGATTATGAAGTTTGCATCTTATCTAGCTTTTTCAAAAGTTACGCCAAGTAGGCAGTAGCACCCGTTTCCTTCGATGTTGCTAAAAAATGTGGTTACACCGTTCAGAAAGCTTCATAGCCTTGACGAAGTTAATGTAAGTACCAGACTTGGCGTCCATGAAAAAACTTATCACACAAGTTTTCAGAACTTATTTATAATCATTCAAAGTAGCAGCTTTTCACTGTGACGCCATATGCCGAAAGCTGCTACCTCGATCTTTATACGAATTATTCTATTCGTATTCATTTGCCGCGTTCAAAGAACAGTGGCCTAGCGCGGCCGATCAGCTGTGTTTCCCACAGCTTATGTTTATGCATTTGTTATCAGTTCGCTTATCAGTAGATTCCTAGGCTTTTGTTTATGTTTCATTGTATATATAAGCTGGGCATCATGTTAGCCATTTAGTTGTCTGAGTTTTATAGCACGCTTTTCTACTAACGCACAGAACAATCACAGGGTCACAGAATATCACAGGGTCACAGAATGATCACAGTAACAAAACATTGATAGAATGTTAGCTTTGGTTTAACCCTAAGTAGTCATATTATTAACATTATATTAGCATATTATTCATTATTCGTAGTCGCATATGTAGTATCAGTAGTATTATAATAAAGGTTTAATTACCCAAGTTTGAGGTACACGCTGTGCACAAAAGTCCCGCGTGGCACTCAATCAATACCCACACACAGCACAAAAGTGCAATCAACTGGTGCATCGGCCAAACAAAGGTACGATTTATTGCCGAAGAGTAACGCTTCCATCTAACTGCTTGCACGTTACTCACCGCACAGTGAATAAATCACAGTTGGCATAGCTATTGCACAGCGAGACATAGTACCTCACAGTAAAAAGCATATTGGTCAGTGAGTCACAGTACCTTACATAACTAACCCACTAACCATGAGCAGTACAGTAAGGTCACTTAAAGGACTTGTGACTAAAAGAAATGACGCAGCCACGATCTGGCTCCAAAACTCAACTGAAGCGCTCACGGACATAAATCCCAAAGAAAGCGCAAGGAGAATAAAATCCTGTGATAGATATATAGATCTCCTCGAAACGTCGTTAACAAAGCTGACCAAAGCCTTTGATGAGGCTCCGGAAACGACAGAAGAAGAGGAGGATCATTTGGACAAATACATCGAAAAAACGCAGGCAACGATAATGAAACTGCATGATCACAGGACACAGCTAGAGGAGACCCTAGAAGATATCGGGATAGAGGCAGATGACCGGTCAAGCCCATCTGCAGTCAGTAGACTCCCGGTGATCCCAATCCCTACGTTCACAGGAAGAAAATGGGAATGGGACAACTTCTGGGCCTTGTACAAAGCCAATGTCCATGATCAAAACTTGTCGCAGCTTCAGAAGTTCAATTATTTGCTGGCATCCCTAAGCGGGGAAGCGAAACAATCCGTCTCGCGATTTTTCGTCTCAGCAAATAATTACGAAAAAGCCATCCAGCATCTCATCAAGCGATACGGGAATAAGGATGGTATAATCCTAGAATTGAATAGAAGCCTGCATAATTGTGTAGCCAAGGTACCCAGCACGATGGAACAACGACAGTTGTGGGACAAACTGTCAACCATCGCAGCACAGCTGGAAGAGCATGAGCAACAGCTCAACAACCAAATAACAATTCAAATCTTTGTCCAAAAATTCCATACGCGCATAAGAAAGGCAGCTATGGAAAAAAGACTACGACAGCAAGACGAGCACAGGCCCGAGTGGACCTTGGATCAATGGCTTGATGCCATCGATAACGTTATATCACAGGAAGAGCAATTGAACCACATGCTCTCATTTGAAGGGCAATTTCGAAATTATTCGCTGCATAGCGGCACAGCAGCGAGAGTTCCTCAGGAATCAAAAGGAACATGGAAGGCAGGACCCTCCTGCGAGCGCTGTGGAAATAGGGGGCATAGATGGACGAATTGCCCGCAAATACCCACAGCGATACAAAAGAGGAGATTTCTGTTAGAAACCAACAGATGCCTCAATTGTGGGTCCACGAATCATAGGATAGCGGCATGTCCTAGCGGCAATTGTAGGAAATGCCACAAAAAGCACCATACGACAATCTGCACAGAAAGTAAAGAAATAGAACCAGAGCATCGTGGCAAGATATCTTCTGGTGCCCAGAAATACACGGAAAGAAAATTATCGGAAAGAAAACCATACAAAAATGAAACAAAAGCCGCAAGAAAGCCTGGGTGTGGTTACTCCTCGAAGCAGCACGTGGTATCCAAAAGAATAATGGAACGTACACCAGTAGACCAACCCATGGTCAAAGACGAACCGATCCAGTCCGAAATCGAAACGTCCGAGGCCCCATTGGTACTGCAATTGAAAAAGAAGGACGAAGAAAAACAAAGCAAAGTGATACTACTCACCGGCGCGGTCAGGATATTAAACGCCAAAGGAAAGCCCAGAGAAGTTGTCGCTCTACTGGACACAGGATCGGAGCTCTCATTTATAGAGGACCAGTTGGCAGACGAGCTGAAGTTGCCAATAATGGGCACAACAATATTAGAACTGAACACATTCGGATCACCAGCTTCAAAAATGAAATCTTGCTCAATTACACGTCTCACACTCATGGACCGAGAGGGCAAAGAGCACAAAGTGCAGCTTTACAGAAATGATTACATCACAGGTGCAATACAGCGAGCAAGCTTGGATAAAAACGACTTGGAATTCATTCGAAAAGGGAATTTCCATCTATCATTGCCAATCAAAGAGGGAGAAGTAAAGCCACAGATCCTGCTCGGTTGTGATTACCTTTGGAATTTCATTGAACCAGGTAACAAGCTAAAATTACCGTCAGGACTGCAGCTAATACCTTCCAAGCTGGGATACATCATCAGTGGACAACAAAGACAACACAGCAAGCAAAAATCGGCAATAACATGCACCTTGCAAGGTTATGAAGCCGAGAAGGAGACATGGGAACGGTACTGGTCACTAGAATCTACCGGCACTGAAGAGTATACAGGCCCACAGCAAACAGAATTGCAAAAGGTAAATGAAAAAGTGCTACAGGATTTCAAAGAATCCATTGAAAAAAGAGAAGATGGATATTACGTCCGTTTACCTTGGAAAACAGACCATCCCGAACTTCCGGATAATAAGGCACTGGCCCTCAAGAGACTGAAAAAAGTATTAGAGATATACCAAAGGGACACGGACACATTGCGAGCATACGACAAAACCTTCAAGGATCAACTAGAAAAAGGAGTTATTGAAGAAGTAACCACAGACGAAATCAATGAAGACCATATAGTACACTACCTTCTGCACCAGGCCGTCATCACACCGTTGAAGGAGACAACAAAGATGAGAATTGTCTTCGATGCATCTGCTCACTACAAAGACAGTCCGTGTTTAAATGATGTTCTTCATCAGGGACCTCTCATCCTACCGGACTTAGTAGGCATCATACTTCGATTCCGATTGCACAGCATAGCAGTAATGTCGGACATCGAAAAAGCCTTCTTGCAAGTGAGATTACAAGAAAGAGATCGCGATGCTACTCGCTGCATATGGGTGAGAGACATTGCACAGCCACCAACGCCAGAGAACTTGGTAATCTACAGATTCACTCGAGTTACCTTTGGGCTGAATGCATCTCCATTCTTGCTAAGTGCTACAATAGACTACCATCTGGAAAGCACAGCAAGAAATGACGACATGGCACCAGAAATACGGAAGAACTTATATGTGGACAATCTCTTCTTTGGTGCGCAGTCGTCTGAAGAGGCAATTGCAAAATACACCCATACAAAGAATCTCTTTCGTGAGCTCAATATGAACCTGAGAGAATACCGATCCAATGACAGATGCTTCAATGAGACTATTGAAGAGGCTGACAGGATGAAGACCAGCTGTCCCAAGGTCCTAGGTATTCCATGGAATTCAGAAACGGACAAATTTGTCATCAAAGGATCCATGGTACCGTCAAAGGAGAAAGTAACCAAACGTACCGTCACGCAGCAACTAGCGTCAGTATATGACCCTTTGGGATTTCTAGTACCCCTCCTTCTACCTGCCAAGATCTTCTTACAGTCTCTCTGGAAGGAAGAACTGGAATGGGACACACCTCTCAGCACACCACTACAAGACCAATGGCGTCAAATATCGAGCGAAATATCAACATTTTACAAGGAGATAAACAGACTAATCAGGCAAAAATCCACTGCACCACGCCTAGTGATATTCGCAGATGCGAGCCAATGCGCAATGGCAGCATGCGCATATATCACTATGGGCGAGGAATCCAATTTGATAATGGGTAAATCAAAACTCCCATCAATAAAGACAACAATGACAATACCGAAGCTAGAAATGAACGCAGTCACATTAGCAGTACGAATGTCGCGGTTCATTTGTGAAGCCCTGGAACCTCTCTGCCAGGTCAAAGAAGTCATCTACTACACAGATTCGGATATTGTACTAGGATGGATCAAGACACCACCAAATCGGCAGAGTGCGGGAATCCTAGTAACAAATCGATTGGCAGAGATAAGACGAATAAACAAGGATCTGGAGCAGAAGAATATAACTTGCCTTTTTGGACACGTCAACACACTCGAAAATCCAGCCGATTGTGGATCAAGAGGACTCACAGCGGAAGCACTGCAGAACCATCAGTGGTGGAGAGGACCACACTTCATATCCAAGCCAGATTACACTCAACTCAACTCCATAGCAGGCAGTGAAGACACAACAACGACGTCGATAGAGACGATTACGGCAGCAACGAAAATATCGAAAGAAGAAATCATAGACCTACAACGACACAGCTCGCTCGAAAAGGCTCAACGAATACTAGTATATGTTCTACGGTTCATAAAAAGATCCCTCAGTCAACTTCCGGAGAAAAGAAAGGAAGAAATTCAAAAAAGAATACCAGCATTGCAACACAGTTCAAGGAGGCAAACCATCACAGGAATGGAAATGCAAGAAAGCAGGATGTGTTTAATTCGAGATCATCAAAAACATTACGTCGACGAGCATCAAATGAAATCACAAAAGGAACTAAACATTCAAAAGGACGAACAAGGAGTACTACGATGTTATGGACGACTCAAGAAAGCAGACATACCTTCCAACGCAAAAACACCGATTTACATAGCCCCAAGAACAACTTTGGCACAACTCATTATCAGGGAAATCCACAGTCAGTACCACAGAGGAGTGGCCAACACGATCGCAGCAGTACGAGAAACATATTGGATACCCAAATTACGACAGCAGGCGAAAAAGATTATAAAGGAAGGTGTACCGTGCCAAAAGTTCAATAATCTACCGTTTTCTTATCCCGATATGGAGGCACTACCAGCTACAAGAGTGCAGAAAGCAAGCCCGTTTGAACATATTGGACTAGACTATTTTGGACCCCTAACAATCAGCGATAACCACGAAGGATCCAATAAAACCTACGGCTGCATCTTCACTTGTCAAATAACGCGATTGGTTCACCTCGAGCTTGTGGGAAACATGACCACAGAGGCATTTCTGAATGCGCTACGAAGGTTCTTCGCACGAAGAGGGATCCCAAAGACGATTACATGCGATAATGCACCGACATTTCTACTAGGGGAGCAAATCCTAAGAGATACCACGGAAAATATGGTACACAGCACGGAGTTTGAAAGCGAAATAGCACGGCGAGAAATAAAATGGAGCCATATTACCCCTTATGCACCGTGGCAGGGTGGATTCTACGAGAGGCTAATACGCTCCATAAAATCCTCACTGTACAAAACGCTAGGAGTGCGCACCATTACTTTCGATGGCCTCAGGACAATGCTCACAGAAATCGAAGCGGTGTTAAATTCGCGCCCCCTTACGTACTAAGAGGAGAAATGGGAAGAGCAACCACTACTCCGACCCATCGATTTTCTACAACACGACATGATCCTAGACTATCCCCTACGATATATGGGTGAGGAAGGGCGCGATAAGATTTATCATTCCCCCGAAGAGGCACAGCAACTAGCAACCCAGCGACAAGCGGAAGCAGCATTAAAAACATCAATAGAGCTAACGGAGAAATTCTGGCAAATTTGGAGGGAACAATATCTCACGGGACTTCGAGAACAACACAAAAAGCGGATGGATGAAAAACGAGGAACAAAGAAAACACCAGAAAAAGGCGACATCGTTTTGCTATGGGATGCAATACAACCACGAAACGTATGGAAAATTGCACGAATAGTTCAAATAGATGACTCACCTTTGAAAACAGTAAGAGAAGTCACAGTCGAAACTCCCAATAAGCGGATATTGCGACGTCCAATTAATCGAGTAGTGCCGTTGGAGATCGATAAGGATGAATCACCCACAGTTCAACCGCAAAAAGATGCAACAGTTCCGTATAACTTGCGACCGAGAAAGAAGATCAATTACAAAGAACAGGAATTGGAAAAACCAACACAAGGAAATAATAAAACATCCACCTCAAGAACAGTAGCCTTGTTCACAATGATGTGCCTGTCTCTTTGCATGGGATCAGCGACCGGACTAAATAACGACAGTCATCACCAACTTCAGTGTAAACAAGGAGGAGTAGTCTTGACTCAACTCACCCGGCATCCGTATGAGATATGCGCAGAAGATTATTGCGTGGAATTCCGTAAACCAAAGCAACAGGAGATAGTAAAATTCCCAGCACAGATTACACTCCACGATTTCCTGGTAAAATGGAAAACATTCGACGGTACAGAAGTGAACATAATAGAAACAACCTGCAGAGCAGCTCCGTTTTGTGGAGAAATCGACTGCACATTTTGTGTTGTGATGATTGCCAATCCGGAGTGCTGGCCTCGCACAGCTATCGCAGTCACAGGCCTCATAGTATACCTGGGAATAGCCATGTGTTACTGTCTCTTCCACGTACCGGTCTTAATGGGCACACCACTACTCTATGGCCTAAAAATCACAGGATATCTGGGAAAATGGCTAATAAAACTAATATACATGGTTATGATCGCACCGTTTTCAACAACCCACCGTAGACGCAGGAGACGACTTTCCTTGTCGGAGGGCGCCATACTCCTTGCTATAGTCATGTGCACAGCACTGATGCAGGCCTGCCAGGATGTGGATATCTTCACTCATCAAAGCAAGTCCTGTTACAGATCGAAACGCAACGAATATTGCCACATCGACACCACAGAAATCCTGAAAATAAACCCTTTCAAACAGGAAGCGTGTATACGATTACGAAGCAAGGAGACGAACGTTCTAGAGGTAAAGCTGCTATGGAAAGCTCTCGAATTAATATGTGAAAAACAAACAACGATCTTCACAAGAAGCACCAAGTACGCGCTGCTGGATAGCAAAAGATGCCCGCACGCTGGATCGTGCACCGGAGAAAAGTGCGGAAAATTCAACCGAACCTCCAAAGTACCGGAGCTACACAGAGCCAACCAGTTCCCAGGGATCACAGGCTGTGTAGAGAGCTGTGGAGGCCCAGGATGCGACTGCTTTTACCCTAGCTCAGGATGCTTGTTTTACAGGATCTACCTAATACCCAACGACGAGAATATTTATGAAGTCTTCAAATGCGCCCGATGGAAGCAAAGAGTAACCCTGCAATTGACGGTCAACGAAGCGGATAAATCACAGCGAGTACATAACTTCTATGTACTCCCTAACCAACCGATGAATATACCGCCGTTCATCATCACGCTCTCATCCATCAGCACTCCACCCATCCCCATGCTCCATTCAAGCTTTCTCACAGACGGGTCACGGTATGCAATTGCACCACCTTATCTCCAACCACCGCTCGCGTGCGCCTCACAGCAGGATGCCGCGAACCTCACTTGCGACGTGAGGGAGGAATGCGACTGCAAACCAGCGGAGGTGAGGATGAAATGCGACTGTAAGGAAGTGAACCTCACAGCACATATAAGGGAACCACAATATACGCTTACCCATAATACGACCCAATCTCGAATTTCGAGCGAAAAACGGAACAGTCGTATCAAAGATACCGCAACTTCCAACAGCGGAATTCATACTACGAATTAAAGGAATGTTCAGCACAACATCAATAAAAACGGACGCAATATGCACTAGCGAAGACGCGCATTGCACGGGATGTTATAAATGCGCAAAGGGAGCTAGAGCCTTGATCACCTGCAGATCTACCACACCTACACTGGCGGAGATCCAATGCGGTGACAGTGCGTTCACAGTACCATGTAATGATACAGGAGTACCAACAACCATAAGCTTTATCAGCAACAAGGCACTATTCTATCGACAATGCACAATCAAATGCGGTACAACACGAAATAATTTCAAAATCACAGGACTACTACACTATACAGGTAGTCTACAAGGAGCCGCACGGCGCGTCCTGGAAGGCGAAAGCGAAGTCTATTCGGAAATTAATTTGCCGGATTTGGGACATCTCGCACAGACCTTCCTCACATGGTGGATGACGCTAGCATTTACGGCGGCGTTAGTTGTACTCGCTCTTCTACTGACCTACTTCGCGGTGACCAACGCTTTCCTATACACAATTGTAACCACCATCGTTCGCATGTTCATTGCCTGCTTCAGATTGGTGTTCTGTCTGCTTCGGGTCTCGTGGATGGTGCCTTTCCGATGTCTTCGTGCATGCCTCGCGAAGAGAAGAAAATCTGAAGAAAAGATTCTGTAAATACGCTTACCTTTGAAAAGGAAGGTCCATGATAGGCAAGTCCGGCCGTCACAGATTCAAATATAGCGATCGGTCACAGATTGCCACCGTATACTCCAACAAATTTTTTTTTGTAAGCCTCAGCTGCCTCCTTTGGCTTCGAGAGAAACTTCTTTTTTTAACGCCATCGGTCTTGTCTAACTCCGAGTACTTCCCTTTTTTTTAACGCCATCGCTTTTGTCCAACTCGGAGTACTTCCCCTTTTTTTAACGCCATCCCTATCGCTCTTGTCCAACTCCGATATTTTTTTTTCAACGGCTGTTCCTCGGATGATGCGAAGGATGTTGATGTATCTTTACTGCAGGTCAGGGTCGGGTACTCTCCCTTTTGGCTTCAGTGCCGCCCGAAATAAAGTGGAGAGTTTGCACTTCGCTTTCTCACAGCATATGGCCCAAAGCAAGGCCAAGCAAACCCCTTTATCCTCTACCGGGAGGGCCACCCGGCACACTAAAAATTTTTTTTTCGCATTGAACGGACAAACACTGTGTCCACTGCGATGGGTTCTTACGGGCGGAATCAATCTTCCTTCGACGTCCAATCATCGTCTGCCGGCACTCCCTCCCTGCCCGCCCTCTTCGGAAGATATCGCATCTAGTCACAGAAGAGAAGCTCCTGCCCAGTCTACCACCAATTTGCCGGTCTTGTTATTACCGGAGAGGAGCTATTCGTCTTAAGGACCGTCACAGCACAGCCCTCTCTGTGGTAGACCGCCCACTTCATACCCCTCCCAAAAAAAAATAGTAATAATAAAAAACAAAAAAAAAAGGGGGGGATAAGGCAGGGAAAACGCCGAAAGGGTCAGGGCCACCTAAAACTAATTGCGAACAACAACAAAAAAAAACAAAAAAAAACACAGCGAATAATCAGCAGAAATACCAGAAATACACAGAATAGAATAGAATAGAATAAAAAGAAAAAAATTCGCTCAAGCAAAGCTAGCTTGACGGCGATATCAAAACATAAACATCGCCCGATTACTCCAGCGCGCAAATGACATCGCGCCTACGGAGATGAAATATAGTGATAAACAAACACTAACGTACTCACAGACCACAATAACGTAAAAGCAAACCGCGTCACAGGGGTCTACACCCACCTCGACGGCGAGGCCGGAGGACACAGCACAGCTGTGATAGATTTGGCCGTAACGCTTTGATGATTTGCTGAATTAACATCTTGCAGAGATTCAAGATTCGGCAAGCTTGTAACTCTCTCGGTTATGGAAAACGCAGCATCAGGATGGCACAGTTCATCGTGAACACAGCTCTTGTCAATTCCCTTATTAACAGCTTTTTTAACAGGAAAACATGGAACAGTGGCCTCCTGAGAAACACGCAGAGCTCCAACGAAGAGTGAAGGAGGAATTTGAGAAAAAGACCTTCATAATTGAAGCGTCACCATCGAGATACACAGAAGCACAGATCCGTCAAAAAATAAAGTTCAACGGCGACAAGTGCAACGAA